GTCCCCCATAAGGACCAGGGCTTGTGAGCCTCATTCAGGTCAGATGGCCTGTAGCAGACCATGATGTCCCCTGCCCCAGCCCTCCCTTTAATCCTGACCCATAGGCTCTCGGTTGGCTACAGGATCTTAAAGACAGGAACAAACATCTTCCCTTATTAAAGTTTTGCAGTTATTAAAAACCATGCTACTACTATCAAAAGAGATGAATTATTTCCATAAGCTCAAAGGAAAAATAAAACCCTCACACACTAATAAGGTATTTCCTTTCTTAAAGGGGGAAAAAAAATCTCAAACAACAACAAAAAAAACCCCTCTACTCTAAATTACTAAATTTAGTACTTTTCAAAGTGACAGGCAGATATGTGATCTAAACCGATGGTCACTTCTAGATCCATAATAGCTCCATGGTATTTACAGGCAAGGAAGACAATGGAAGAGCTACTCAGGTGCCTAAACAGGAGCCTGAAGCAGAGAGAGGCTAACCATAACTTGAATGGCACTTGCAGTTTGGATGTCAGCACACATCCCAATTCTGTTTCCTTTCACAGTACCTGAGCAATAACGTGTCCTAGAGGGCCATACTAGCAGTTCAGAGACTTTTCAGGATGGATATATTAGGATTTAATCTCTATAAGTGGATGTGTTCAGTGACACAGGAATGGGCTGATATTGGAAAATAATCAAATAGGAATAAATATTGGAGGACACAGCATTTGGTGACTGAAAAGTCACCAATGAATTATTCAGTCAGAAATAGCGGCAGCATCTGCTCCAGCATCTTGATCTTAATGTATGTGTGTACTGAACAAAGTGCCTCTGACAACAAAAGCATCACTATCTTCTCCAGCTGTAAAAACAAAATGAAAAAAATCCCAAACAAACAACCCCCAAATAATCAGAATCTTTAAATTAAATTCTCAGCAATTACTGTTTTCTTCTGGTTGCAATTAGAAGCATCTAATTCTTTAGATCAGCAAAACAAACAAAACCACCAGATTTCCATCCCACTAATAAGATCTTCATTGATTTGAGCAACATTTTAAAAAAAACTTGTCTTTGTTCCTGAATATCTTCAGAAAATATCAACTCTCGGTTTTAAGTACATAGGACTTGCTCTTCTTAAGACCACATCACATATTTCTATTTATAAAAGACATTAATTGATAATTAAGATGGATACTTGTTATTGACTACTACTACGTAGAAAAAAATAGCAGTTTTTATTGTGGAAAACTCAGACTTAAGGCTTGAAAAAACTAGTGTTTCTTAATATCTAGGACTATAATAGCCATCTCGTTGCCATCGTATTATTTACTCGTAAAAAATATTTACCTCTATTGTTCGTTGCTGCAATCTCTGTGTCTCCATCTTGGACAGTGTTTCTTCTAAAGCTTCCATAGCCTTCTGACGTTCTACTTCTTTATTTCTTGCCTGATTTAACTCATTAGTAAGTCTTTCAGTTTCACCTTTCAACTGTTCGACATCTGCTTGCAGTCTTGCTTTAACATCTCTCTCTTTGAATATCAATTCCTTTAACCTGAGAATAAATGCAAGAAAGTTGTTTTAGAAACATCTTAGGACTTAGTTTGATGCCTAATACCTCAAGAAAAAGACATCAGTATTTTAGCACTGAGTTTTACTGTTTACAGCAGTGTCATGTAAAACTGTTTAAAAATATGTAAAATATTACTAATATCATGTGTAGCAGCACTATATGGAGCTCCATTTTAAAAGAAACTAAGCTGGAGACAACCTCACATCTGGGCCTTTAAGAAAATGACTTTCCAGTATCATTTTACTTTATACAGAAGTCAAACATATAGTATCAATTTGATAATTTTCTTCAGAGAACCTTAAATATTCTAATGATTTTTTTATATAAGATCTATCTCAAAAGAAAAGGAACAAAATAAGCCTCTTGTCCAAGGTGATAATAAATAAAGGTGGGAAGTGAACCTAACAGCTAGTCCTGGATGGTAACTCAGGAAGCGCTTGGCTTATTTCTTCCTAACAAGAAAGAAAATGTGTCTTTGATAAATACAATGCAGTTAAGAAAGAGAAAAATAGAGCAGACATCTCCAAATCATAGCTGACAACAAACGGGGAGGAGAGGAGGAGAGGAGGAGGAGAGGAGGAGGAGGAGAAATGTTGCTCAGAACTTAGAAGGATGATGACAACAGTCTATATGAAGATGCACTAGACCTGACCCGCACAACATATTGCCTATCAGCCAGCTCTGGCCTGCCAGAAATATCTTTGTTCAAGTGTACTGTGCAGGCAAAGAAAATGTATGTATAGGTGGAAAGGGAGATTGAGAATTGGAAGCTGAAAGCATGAGACAGCTACTAGAGCTTGAGCTGAAAGAGAAAGTACAATTATGATACAGATTGCGTGGAAAGTAATAGCTAGAAATGGAAGTAAGTGACATACTGATACTGTTCTGAGGCAGGAACAGGAAGAAAACTGCAGAAAGTAATTTTGTTAGGTAATACCAAGAGAAATTCTAGCACTACTTCTTGGTGCATTATTTTCCAAGTATATTGTTTAAAGCTGTTGTCATTTTCTAAGCCTATAAATTGAATTGTCTTGAATTATAAAAACCAAAACAAACATGCCACAGTGCTCTGTTTCCCTACCTGTCTGTAGTGTATACAGCCATACTCTGAATATTCTTTTCTTCTTTTGCATGCTTCTGTAGCTCTCTGACATGCTCTATTAATTTCTTCTCTGCTTGCTCTGCTTTCCACCTCCTTTCTTTCTCCTGATCCAGTTCTTGAATCAGCGCCTTAGCAAGAATGTGGTAAGCATCAACTTACTAGAAAACATTCAAACGTAGCCAAAAATGACAAACAATATTCATAACTATAGAACAAGATTTTTTGTTGTTCTGAAATTCATAGATGACAGAGGAAAGCGCACGTGACCAGGCCAAAAACCCCCATAATAGTGAAATAAAATAAATTCTCTTCCAGCTGACACTACAAGAACTCCACTATTTTTTGACGCTATCCACACGCAATTGTTTTTGTCACCTCCAATTTTAAAGTTTCACCAGGAGACATATGGTTGGCTTCAGGTGAAGACACACTCATATTTATCTTGAAAGGATGCAAAACATACTCGGTATGTTGACTCTTCTGTGGCATTTGAATTAATTTCTTCCACTTTTTCTATATTGCTCTGTCTTCCAGTTAATATTTCAGCTTTTCTTCCCACTACTTCCAAGTCTCGAGTATCCGACGATGAATTGATATGAGAGTCTCTCTGATTGGAGCGTGGACACTTTGAAGAACTCTTCTCTTCCCTATAATAGCAGGATATCAAGGTACAGTTAAGAATATGCAGAGTTTAAACAGCAACAGGGAATTCAGACACTTTCATAGGACAAAATTTTACAGTTTTGTGTAGAAGCTGAATTGTACAGAGTTCAAAACCACATAGAAAATAATTTGCAAGCAGATCAGAAAACAAACAGCTAAATACAAATCTTCAGCTGTAAAAAAATATGTAGTACTAGTAGATGCTATCTGAAAACCATTTTATCATCACATAGATATGAAACAATTTTAGAGAAGCAGAGTAGCTGTAGGGCTGCAATGGCTGACTAATATATTCCAATGTGTATCATCTTCTAGTCATCACTTCTGATGTTTACTATATAAATCAAATTACTACAGCATCCTCAGTTTCATCACAAAATATGGACAGTTATATTCTCGACCATTGTTCTGATACCATGAGTCTTATTTTTATTTTTTAATTGGACTCAATTATTGTGTCTGTGGAGAACTCTTGTCTCCACAATTTAAAACAAAGACGAAAACAAAAGCTGTTAGAATTCTGAAAGTGTTTATTTTGGAATCTTCAGTTCCTTTTCACCTAAAGACAGAAAATGCTCATATAGGGAAATGACTGAGTGCAGAGTGAACTTCAAAAAGTTTCAAATAATACATAATAATACATAAAGCACTAATATAAAAAACTAGGATGCAAAACATTTATATATAGAGTCAGATTAAGAAAAGAGGGGCTTGTATTTTAGACATTTATGAGCATGGACAGCTGACAACTATCTCATTTTCTTTGGAGTGGGTGGAACACTTCAAAAGTTTGACACAATTGTATCCCTAATCAACAGATTTATTATGAAGCCTCAGTAGCTAATAATTTTTAGACCATTATTAAACAGAGCTAATTTACCCAATCTACCACTTTCAGCAAAATGTTCCAAGTCAAACTACGTTCACTCTGACAACATTCAGCCCAGTTCACTCTGACAATATTCAGCCCAATTCACTTTGGCTTTATGTGGCAAACATTGGCATACCTGTCAGTTATTTTGTTCTTAAGATGATTCACATGACACCTAGCAGATAAGGTAGTTCTACGGTAAGTAGGGATCTTGCTTCTTTTCACAACCTTTCTGTTGTTCTCCTTCCCACTCTCATTTTCGCTCTCAGAAGTTGGATCTGTGTCTCTCTTAGCTTTGAGAACATTTGGAGGAGCTTCCCTTCTTGAGGTATCAGATACCTAACAACAGATACAAGTTTTATCTATAAATGTTACAATTTCTAATTGGCTAATTTCTAACACTTACTCAGGTGTTAACTTTTTAAAAAGTTAATAGTTACAAAATAATTTTGATAGAGAAGTAAATAATTGCTTCCAAACTACCCCCTCCCTCCTTGCTAAAACATTTTGTTGTTTTAAAGATAAAATAAACCTAACTGAACACCATGTTTGACACCATTTAGTTATATCTTTCTGAAACATTTAAAATCCTTAGGCATAGAAGGTTGGTGCAAAATGTAAAACAAATACAGCACTTAAAATCAAAAAAGCTCTGCAAAATACAAGGTACACCATAAACTGTTACAAAAATGTATCTGACAAATGTTTCAGACTAACTCTGTCCCAGCAAACTCTTAGGTCACCAAGAGGTACACCTTATTTTACAAACAAAACTTTCTGTACAATCACAGGAGGAAAAAAAAAAAAATTACCTTTTGAAGTATCTGTGAAATTTGATCTTCTATTTTTTTAATTCTTATCTCACTGTATATTTTATCAAGTTCGGCCTTCTCTGGTTCTGAAGATGAGACAAGCTCTGTAGAGGAGCTGACGGCGCTTTGTATTCTTGTACGTTGACGAAAATGAGCTAATGCCTGGTCGATATGTGGTGTTACCACTGGTAAGGTAACACAGTTCTATTAAAAGCAAAGACAACCCTTGTAACATTAATGAGTTGCATGCAATATAAAAATAAAATGTATCAATTTTAAAATCAGTACACAAAACCTATGGCACCTGATCTCTGGATGAGGGGCACCCAGATGAAACCAAACAGCCCCAAACGTCTTCTAAACACTGCACATCTGAACAGTTTTCTTCTGCTGGGTCCACTGGTTCACCAGAAATATTTCTTCCATCTAGAGTTGTTAGCTGGGGCAACGTCTGAAGAACAGTTTCTCTATAACCTTGTGGAAAAGACCACATTTAATTGAAATTAATCTCCAAAAGAGATGTCTACTGTATTTTAGGTACCCTGTCATCTTAAATTATTCATGGTAGTTTTAGAGTTATCTTCAAGTGTCTCACCTTTCCCCACCCATAAGGCTTTCAACAGACATCACAAGGCAAACTGGGAAGCTGCCTGCCTAGTCCTGCTCTACACAGGGATTTCCCCACCACCAGCAGCACACTGCAGTTGCACAATCTTTTAGTATCAGCCTACTGCACCAGAACCATTGTTATCAAGTGCAAGGATAGACAAACGTAATGGGAAGGCAAGTTCTGAAAGGGCTGAGGTAACTTCATCCTCTTTTCCAGTGAACGAAATAAGGCATCATGAAACTGCATGGCATTGAAGTTAAATTTTTTTAACAGAATTTGGGCTCCTAAACTTTACAGTTATTTTTGAAAGTGCCACCAAAGAGAGATTTGAAGAGGTATGTAAACACTTACAGACGAAAGCTAGTGGAATTTTCTAAGTTATCTAGATAACTTTACTAGTCCTGTTACTGCTTCTGTAGGATGGTGACTCAACCATTTCCCTGGGCAGCCTGTTCCAATGCTTGACAACCCTTTCGGTGAAGAAATTTTTCCTAATATCCAATCTAAACCTCACCTGGTGCAACTTGAGGCCATTTCCTTTTGTCCTATCGCTTTTTACTTGGGAGGAGAGACCAACACTCCGCCAGCCACAACCTCCTTTCAGGTAGCTGTAGAGAGCAATAAGGTCTCCCCTCAGCCTCCTTTTCTCCAGGCTAAACAACCCCAGTTCCCTCAGCTGCTCCTCATAAGACTTGTGCTCTAGACCCTTCACCAGCTTCATTGCCCTTCTCTGGACACACTCCAGCACCTCCATGTCTTTCTTGTGGTGAGGGGCCCAAAACTGAACACAGCACTCAAGGTGTGGTCTCACCAGTGCCGAGTACAGGGGGACAATCACTTCCCTAGTCCTGCTGGCAACATGATTTCTGATACAAGCCAGGATGCTGTTGGCCTTCTTGGCCACCTGGGCACACTGCTGGCTCATATTCAGCCAGTTGTCAACCAACAACCACAGGTCCTTTTCCACTGGGCAGAATTACTGCAGAGCATCTTATAGTCTGTCACTGCTTACTGAAGCTGTGGGAAAAGGAGGAAAGGCTGATAGTGCTTATTACTGATATTCCTCTTGTGCTCTCTATCAGTAGAGGAATGACCATCTACTTCCCACGCCTGCCCTCATTCTATACAGTACATCATCTTTATGTACATTCTTCAGATTCTCCACTCTCCAACCTTATAATATTAATACTCCCTTCTTCCTATTACTGCAATATTTTCTCTTCCTGTCACTCTCTGTCCATCTCCTGCCTTAACCTAAAATAATATGTGAAAAGTTGAACCTTATCAAAGCATAGAACAAGTTACAATTTTTAGAATATGCCTGGGGGGAAGTGGGAAGGAGTTTTCTCTATGGAAAACAAACTCATTTTGACAGAATTTAAACTTCTGAAGGCTGACCAGTTTATAATGAATTTGCAAGCTCCATAACATGGCTCACAGCTTAAGGGAAGTCCCTGACCTAAGGAGCACAACGTACCTACATAACACGAGATCCATACCTGCTGTGTGACAAACTGGATTGGCTTTTCCCTTTTTTTCCAGTGTCAGATTTGTCAAACAACGCAGCCCCTTTGTGCACTGGAGTAAGTGATCAATATTGTTTACACAGTTGCTGTGAAGGTCAATATGACTAATCTTATGACTGGTTCCATGAAGGCACTTAAATCCTGAAAATTTGAGAAAACCCACAAAACAATGATTTCTGCTACAATCCTAGACTACAGAGTTTAGAACAAACGGCATCTTGTTGAAAAATATTTAGTAAATAATATGTAATAACTGGAAATGATGTAACAACTTGTGCTCCATATCCCTGTCTACGTATATTAATTATATATGGTACACTACCACACAGTACAACACTTAAGCTAGTTATGAGACCTAACTTTAAAGAAACAATTACTTTGTAACTGTTAAGACACATGTAAAAATAAACATTTTGCTTGAAGTTCCTTTTTATAACTCAGTTCATTAACAAAATTGTTACCAATGTTCTTTTTAATTATTTATTACAAACTCCCTTGATTCTGTAGCTTAAAATCTTAGAAGCAACAATTGACCATTTTAACAAATAGATTTAGGAGAGAACTTCTGCATCATATCCAAAGTTGCATTTTTGTCCTATAAAAAGGAAAGATGAGAATCTTTTGGAAATATCTTCCGAGACTATTGCATTTTTCACTTTGGAAAGAAGTTCGAAACGTTTACTGTACTACTTTGTGAGAAAGCTCAGCCTTGCTAAACACAAAATAAATTCCAGTTCAGAACAACCCATTATCATAGAATCTTTAAGGTTGGAAAAGACCTCTGAGATCATCAAGTCCAACCATCAAGCTTATGTTCATTTCAAGCTCATGTTAGAAGCTTGAAAGCTGAGAGTAGCAAGCACTGCCACCACCTTTAATAGCATTACTCAGTCAATGGGCTGAACTACCAGAAACTTCTAAAATACATTTGGTCACGTTTTTCAAAATTAAAGTGAGGCAAATGCTTTTTATTGCACTGCAAAGGCCAAAGTCACTTACCAGAGAGATCATGTATGTGATTATATGACAAATTCAATATAGTTAAATTAAAGAGTTTTTCCAGTCCTAAAAAAAATGAGGGAAAAAAGTAACAGTAAGATTTTCAGAAGAATGCTCTGTTTTCATCAAATCAAAACCTGCAAAGCCTTTTAAAATAATTACTACTAATTATGATAAACTATAATAATATTTTTCCTTTTAAATTAAGGCATTTTATTATAATAAAGCTCACAGAATATATATTCGTTTAAAAATTTACATAACAATATGGCTAGTAGCTCATATTAACTTCATGTAACCTTAATTATATTCACACTGTCCAGAAGCAAGCTTTAACACAGCTCCTACAAAAGCTTCATAAGTAGCTAAATGGACAGAAATAACTGTTGCAGACCCTCCACTTTCGTTATCAGGTTACAGGATAAGCTTAGGGTGCACAGGTTAGCCAGGGAACTTAGCCCCTCGATCCGGCGGATTTGGTTTGATGACAGATCTAAATGCTGCAGATTCCGGAGGTGGCTGAGCCCTTCGATTCTGGCGATGCGGTTACAGTGCATGTTGAGCGTGTGCAGGTCCGAGCTCAGGGAGACCTCCAGCAAGCTGCGAAGGAACGGTACGCGCCATCAGCCAGGCAGCTTCATTCCCGGGCCACCCTACCCAGCC